GGGGTCCTTGTACTAGATAAAGAGATATACAATCACAGGATATTTTCTCTGTGCCAACGACTGACCACACCAGCACATCTCAGTGTAAAAAATAAAAGACGGCGCAGACAACAGACTGATAAAACATCTCCACTAAATTCCCACAGATCTTAAATGAATTTATCCTATTCAGGAAAGACGTCCTTCTTGTCCTTTCTTATGCCTCTGCCCATGTTGTTCATTCAGCCCAGCTTGTTATCCAGTGATCCAGGAATCAATATTAATAGGTCTGCATAACCTCCTCCTCTCATAACAGAATTGGTCTTTGATTTGGTCTGTTTTGCGTTTTAGGCCATTTGTGTGGCACCAGACAACAAAGTTCTTCACCGAGCTCCTTTACCACCTTGACTGCAAGATCAGTCACAGTGTCTCAACATTAGGTAATAAATAGAGCTCTGATGTTTGAGGGATGTCTTTTCTGTTCATACAGTGAAGTTGACCTTGAGAGGAAAGACATAACTTGTTTTCTGTGTGGATCTTTCAGTGTTTGTTTTCTGTCCACTGAACAAAAACAGGAAAATTACAAGAACCGCCTTCATTATTTATATACAGTACAGTTTCTGTGTTAGTTTTACGATCACAATAATCATGATTGTTTATCTTTGTAACAATCTAAGATATGATGCGTTTATGAGAAAATAAAAGCTTGAATATTGCCCTGATTTTAGTGAAATCAAACATTTCCAAATTATTCTCATCTTCTGTGAATGCTTCATGTCTCTTCAGGGTCTGTGCTGATGTTGCGGTGTGGCTCCCAGACTGCTGTATGTTTAGTCACCGCAGATCCAACTGTCATCCTTACACACCTAAACAGCAGCTTACAAACAACAGGTACCTCATCCCTCAACGCTTTGAACAGCTGAGAGCCTCTCATTGTCCTTTGTTTTTGTGTAAACATGCCTTATATCAGCCATGAAGTTTGTCTTGGGTATCCGCCTCAGTGATGTTCTGGAAATATGACTCATGCTTGGGTTTTACAGCTGCAGGCTTAAATTTGGTTAAAAAAGTGGCCCCTGAGTAGCTTAGTTTTTACTGCAGTTCAGTTGTATTTGAAACTAAAAAAATTGAACTGAAGAAATAAAAAAAAAAAAAAAAAAAGCCTTTGTAGGGTTTTCTGTGTTTGATTGGTTCAAAGTTTTCTATTTAAGAAAAAACGGCTGATTTCATCGACTCACTGACTTGGCAGCAATCCCTCACATCTTTTGAGTTTCAGCAATCCCTCACGCCGAGCATGCATGTAGCAACAGTGGACAGGAAAAAACCTCAAGCAGACACAGGCTCAGTCTGAGCAGCATTCTGTGAACCCTTCAGCCCCCAAACAATTAAAATAGATGCTGATAAAATAGCTTATCAGGGTAAAAGTTTTATTAATAATATAGTGTATTTAAAGGGGTAGTGCTTCGAAGAATTGTGGTGCTTCTCTTATTTAAAACAGCTTTGGAGATTTAGATTTTTTTCTTATTTGAAATGATAGTCCAAAGCCCATAAAAGCTGAAACTTCAGGTAATACTTAAAGGTGTTTTATTTTGTCCCTGTGTAAAGTTTTACTTACATTTGTTTTAATGGTGTATACTGTATATGCACTAAATACTTTTTGTCATTGTTAGGTTTATAAGAGTTGCCGTAGTGCTCATGAATCTCAGGATATTTATATGAAAACAAAAAACACCCCATTTCTAATGAAACTGGCTGTTCAGAACGGATGAAGTGAGGCGCAGAAAACATTGAGATAGCGACAGCTTTAATTAATACCCTGGACATGAAACATAACTTCTGTTTTTATTGCTAGATATTTTAGATTAAATTTTTGCCTTGGCTTGTAGAGCAGTTTGAAACTGGAGAGTTAGAACACATGGTTCCTCTGTGTGCAAATACAGTGGCTTGCAGAAATATACATAATGTTTGAGTTTTTCCTCATTTTATCACATTGCAATTACAAACATAAATGTAGTTTACTGGAATCTGGTATGCAATTATGAAATAGGAAAATTATACATGATTGAAAACAATTTAAAATACTTTTTGAAATGAAAAAAAGTGCAGTGTGCAAAAATATTCTCTTCTTTTGTCTGTGTGCAAACTAATATCCATCAGAAGTTGCCTAATGATTGCTAATAGCCACATTTACACTACCGAGCTTGGATCAGTTAACCGTACCAAGCTTGGTTCCTTATGACCATTTACACATAACGCTAGCATGGTTCCTCGCTTCCTAGTGACAATCTACGGTACTACTGCTCTCTAGAGGTAAACTAGCAAATCAACATGGCGGCGCCCATTATATTCAGGAAGTTATATTTGGTTATCATTGTGATAATTCTTTGGTGAATTTTACTTGACAGAGTCGGCTTTTGGGAAGTGGATATGGCAAACGACAGTCTAATCAGGGCTTACAGACGCAGGAAACAACGTCAGATGTTGAGGTTTATTACACTGCTAAGCAGAACCATCATTGGAAATCATGTGGCAATTGCTTGGACTCCCAGTGAATCATGGGATACCCAAAGCTATGTAGGATACACCGGACCTGTCCTTCAAAACAGCAAAAAGAGGGCTGCATTTGTCGGCCACATAACGAGGAGTCTGAACAGGACAAAGCATCATGCTATGATGTAATGACAGAAGAATCTGGCAATTTTGTGAGAAACTAATTGAAATGCAGTTTATGTACTATTTGTACCATATGTACCATGCTATCACTGGGATTGACTAACAGTTTAGAACAAGCTGAAGACTGGTGCCAGGAAACATGGGCCTCCATTGCAACTAAACAGCGCCACAGGCTGGTTTTCCTGCTGCAAGTTGATGCTGGTATGATGCAGCTATCCTAGCAAAAAGAGTCCCATTAGATATGCAGTGGATACGGTACGGTTTATAAAAATACTTTTAGCACTAAATGTTTCTGTATTTCTTTCCTAGAGAGAAAACTTTATTAGTTGTAAGTCATAATCATCCAATATTTCACATTATTTAAATTATAAGATCAGCATCTTTTTAGTTTCAGTTTTTGAATTCTATTTCTAAAAAGACAAATACCTTGTATTGAGATCCTACTTCGCTAAGTTTTACCCCCGGGTACTGATTTTCTGTTAGTTTGTGCTGTTTTTGTGCAGCATTATGAACTGGCTCATCAATATAGAAATAAGGTTGCCTTGCCTTAGTAATTTTCATACTCTGTGATATATCACATTTCTGGAATCTTGCTCTCAGTTTAATCAAATGTAGTCTATTAATTCAGCAGCAACGCATGTGGCACAATAAAAATAAACAGCTGTAAGTTGATCTGCTTCTGGTTTCTTTCCGTTCCTGGAACTGAGTTTCCTGAAACTGACATCAGCTGTTGTGTAGCAGGTGAAATCAAACACCACTAACATGGCTGGTTGTTATTCTAACACAGCTTTGTACTAATTGTTCTTTAATTAAACTGTTTTTTTTAGCATATGTTTGCTGTATCTGGCTGACTTTGGTGTCCTCCTACATCTTGTTTTAGATATTTACTTCCATTCCCTTTAAGTCGATTAAAAACTGCTTCCCTGTTTCTTCTACTTTTTTTCGTCTTTTATTTGTCAAATTTTTTGTTGTTTTCACTTTAGTGGTAGGTTTTTGCATTTGTTTTATCGATTTATTCAGTAACTTTACTGTTTGATCATTTTATACATTTGGCTCCCAGGAGTTTTTACACTAGTGGGCATCAATCCGACGATTTTTATGGGTCCATCCTAGGGGTGCACCATTTGAAAAGTCCGACATGCTGATTTTGAGTGATACAGATTTTTTTTAATAACGGACAATGTCAGTTGTTATAAGATCCCAAAACCCCTTATATATTTTAAACTTATCTTACTGAAAGACATTAATCAATACCTGTTAAATATATAATAAATAACAGCTTCTAAAATGACTGCTCTCAGATGTAAATAAAAGTTTTAAGCATTGATTAACAGACCTTTGCAGAGGTAGAAAAGATCTACCTGTGGAAAAGATCAGTCTCACATCTTAGTATCAGCACATCACAGATCTCCCAAAATGAAGGAAATTGAGGCTGAAATAATTGGCTGGCTGATCGATCAGTGCTCCCCTAGTCCATACATTTTTAGAATACTTCACTGCTAACAGTTGTATAAGATGGTTTCATTTTCAATGGCATTTATATTGTCATAGTGAACGTAGATTCACAAAGTGCTTTCACTACTCATATGTGACCCCCTAAGGAGAACCAAGAGTACGCTGTTTATTATGAGCACTAAATCTAAATTCAGTCATTAATGCTTCTCAGCCTGCAGCTGGGTTTTATTATCTCATTTTGAAGCAAAACGGGAGTATGTTATTGAAGTTTTCAGTCAAAGACAACTTGTTGATGAAAAAACTATGCACTTTTTTTGAATATTTAGAAAAATTGAACTGTGACAGAAGAGTGGCATAAAGCTAAAAGGCAGTCCAATGGTTTTACTTGTTTGAGTATCTTTAATAATATACACTAAGGAATTAAACTAAATAGTGTTTGCAGTGTTAGTGGGAGTAGCTGCAGACTGAAAGCTGTTTTAGTGGTGAGGTTTTTTCCCCGATGGAACTCATCCTTCTTGCTGAGGAGAGTCTAAAACTGTTTGAGTCCTTTGGGGAAGGGGTTAGCATCAATCGTTTCTGCTTAATTCTGAGTCATGGGGACATACAGTTCCTAACAAAAGAAAATTGTAAGCAGTCAGTCTCTCTTAGGAGCGAGGAGGCAGGTGTGTACCATGTGGTGATGTGTTGTGGATAGACTTAATGATGGCAGAAGAGACGGGCTGGGATCCAAAGTTGTGACAGTTTCAGCATTTAATGATAAAATAAAAAATGGTTGCATACCCTTTTAAACACGCACCCTTGACTGTTGTCTACAGATCTGCGGACATACAGTTCTTACAACATGTGGCTGGGGTTGACCCTGGCTTTGCTTTCCGCCTTCCTGATTGGTGGTAGTGTCATCCTCAAGAAGAAAGCTCTCCTTCGATTGGCCATCAATGGACACACCAGAGCAGGTGAGCAGACATGGATGTTGACATGTGGTTGATGTTTACTCAGTCTCTCAGGCGACGCAGCTGGAAGAAAAATCCCTACTGTAGCAACAAACATGGTAACAAAAATGAACTTTTGGCTTTAATAAAAAGAGAAACTATAAATAGAAAACTTATACATAACAGAAATGGACTAGCGAGGGCTCATAAGATTAAATTTAATATTAATCTAATAGAGACTATTTATATGAATATTAAATGTACTTTTATCATGAATTTTTAATCCTTTTATCCACCCTATACAGTAGTTAAATGTATAATGAAATAATTCCTTTAGTATATTTGGGTATTTATTTCTTATAAAATAAAGTTGTTTTATTCCAACACCTCAAAGTGAAGCAGCCTCTCTGTTTGGGTGCCGCCAATTTCATGACGTCATCCTATCATACCACTTCTGAGGGCTGAACAAAGTCTGTGACCTCCCTCTGACATTTAATAGATTTTAACAACTTAGACATTAGCAGAAAAAAAGAGAGGTTACCACCTGATGCAGATTTGCCTCTAAAAGAACCACTTTGCTTTAATTTTGAGCTGGAATCATCCCGCTCTGCCTCCCATCACTCCTTCCTGATTGGAGTGTGATAGTGTCAATAAAGCACAGGCACAGCGAGGTTATAGTAGGTGCTTCCAGGAGGGAGATATTCTCCAACTGCTTGTTTTCACAGGTCGATAGGCCTAATGGGTTGTTTTGCTATGGTCCCAATATATAGTATATTTGGGTATTTATTTCTTATAAAATAAAGTTGTTTTATTCCAACACCTCAAAGTGAAGCAGCCTCTCTGTTTGGGTGCCGCCAATTTCATGACGTCATCCTATCATACCACTTCTGAGGGCTGAACAAAGTCTGTGACCTCCCTCTGACATTTAATAGATTTTAACAACTTAGACATTAGCAGAAAAAAAGAGAGGTTACCACCTGATGCAGATTTGCCTCTAAAAGAACCACTTTGCTTTAATTTTGAGCTGGAATCATCCCGCTCTGCCTCCCATCACTCCTTCCTGATTGGAGTGTGATAGTGTCAATAAAGCACAGGCACAGCGAGGTTATAGTAGGTGCTTCCAGGAGGGAGATATTCTCCAACTGCTTGTTTTCACAGGTCGATAGGCCTAATGGGTTGTTTTGCTATGGTCCCAATATAACCTCTTGGTGCTAGCAGGTAGATGATCATTAGCCTCGTGAGACCATCCTGATCTCGCGAGCTATAAAGATTTCACTCGCTAATCAGTCTGGAGACTCTCCGTTGAAGAAAATTTGGAGCCGTTCACCAAACGAACGTCCAATCAGCGTTGGCTTTGAGGCGGGTGGAGGTGTGACGCAACGAGAAGCGCGACAGTTCAGTCTAAAGAACATGGCGGCTTCAGCCGATAAAACTAGCGTTAGCGTGGCTATCGAGCAAGTTTCATCGGAATTACAGAGTATTTCTTCACTGAAAGAAGAGCAAAACACTGCTCTGGAGGCTTTTCTAAGAGGAAAAGATGTTTTTGCTCTTCTCCCGACTGGTTTCGGCAAGAGTAGCCTGGCTGTTAGTACGTCATATGTTTCGTTGATCTGATTGGTTTATTTGGCCCGTCTATCACCAACATAGGCCAATCAGCTAACCAGTATTTTCGCCCCTTCCCAAAATTACTTCAATGGAAGGTTTCCAGATGGTTATGCGGAGCAAATTCTTCTGGCGGAGTCAGGTTAGATGATCATACCATAAGAGTTTTTTAACTGGTAACATAAACACTGCACACACAGACATAAGTCTGCTGCAATTATTTTTGAATAATCATCACGTGGAAACTAAAGGAGTATCATGATTATTCATTGATGTATTATTATGTCTGTGAAGATTCTCAGTCATTCAGTTAATCGTCGAGCTTTAAAATGTCAGTTTAGACAACTTGACAAGAAGTTTTCTGCAAGACGTTTCCTATCTCATCCAAGAGGCTTCTTCAGTTCTAAGTGATGGTGGGGAGCATCAACATTAATTCACTGTAGGTGTAACACAAAAATTGGGGGAAAAACAAACAAAAGGCTCTGTCCCTACTGGATGGGCCATGGAGGTCACCTGGGGGGGTGTTAATGGTTATTAGGGGGGTTCTGATGGTAAATAGCTTTTTTTTAATTAACATATTAGCTAGCTGAGCTGTAGGTCTGAGCCTGGAGCTTGTGTTGTCAGAGCAGATATACTGTCAAATTAACCTGTTTATATCTTTTATTATGTTGTACAGAATACACATTTCAAAGCTTTGTGTGTACAAAAGAAATGACAATGCATAACATTAAAGGTATTAACAGTGCTTTTAGATGTTCAATTGGAAAAACAATATAATTTTCCCTCCACTTCACAATTATCAATCACTTTAGTCTACCAGATGAAATCTCAATGAAGTCAAGGGAGTATTGTTTTTATAAAATGACAACATTTTCAAACTCCACAGTACAAAAATACTATTTAAAGGCATTGTATGATTTCAGTTTGGATGTCATCACCAACAACAGTGGCAGAGCTACCTGACAAGGATATACCTCTGTTTGTTTTTGCAGGTGATGGCGGATATGGCTACCTTAAGGACTGGCTGTGGTGGGGAGGACTCTTAACTAGTAAGAGCTTGGTTTAAACTCCAGTGTAACTGAAACAAAACACCTGGAGAAGTTTATTGCCTTTTTTATTGTTGGAATACATCGGACAGAAAGTCCGGTAATATGATCAGACAGAAGATCGTTATCATATGAAGACATTGTAATTACATCTTAGTGGAATGCATAGCTGGACCACAAGGGATTTTCTGAAACCCCTGGTCTATTTTTATCAGACCCATGTAGAAATCTGACAGTACTGTGATAAGTTAGACAGGAGGAGACATACTGTGACAAAGAACAGATCGTCTGCTTTGAGCAAAATACAAATTAACGAATTATAAGGTAAACCAGCCAGGTTTGTAGCCGTACAGGTTAGTTTGGAATCACATATGTATATAAAGAAGACAGAGCAGACTTGAACATCTGCAATCAAGGAAGCATTTTAACGAACCAAATGGTGATCTTTAGGTTTGTTAGAGCAGCAGCTGCAGATTAACATTTACTACCTTGTTTATGCTGGGAGAATTTCCAGGATGAACTCTCCAGTGAATGCTTGATCTCGTGTGGCTGGTGGTCTATAGGGGGAGCCTCTATGCAGCAAGTATGAAAGTAAAAAAAAAACAGCGTCAGAGCTTGTAGAGTTGGATGCAAACAATGTGTTTCCAGCCTTTAAATAAGAATGCTTAAAATATTTTAGCTGATTTAAATATATAAGTCATTTCTATAAAAAGGAAATGCATGGGTTTTGGTAGTTTGCCATTTTTGAGCCTTAATTGGCTGAATTAGAACAGTGCCAGGATAAAAAAAAAGCAGCAGTGATCTTGGGGAAGAAACTATGGTCGGCAGCCAGCCGGAAACAGTGAATAGATTCTAAAATCATTTCAAAATAAAAGAAATAATTTTAACTAGGTTATTTTCTGGGTTTCCATTTTGTCTTAAAAAAATCTTACATTTGAATGTAATTTATTTACACCTTAATATTAAGGTGATTGTCTTTAGTTAAAACTTCATTTTGTACACCTGCATTTTCCATTATATTAATAAGTGTTTTGTAATTTACAGTTCTAAAGCTTGTATTATGTTGGTTCTTATCACTCACTCATGTCACTCAAACTTGTATTAAACACATTTCCTGAAAACAGTCAAAGTTGGTGGCCTCCTTAGATTATATTGAAGGGTGAAACTATGACCTAAAAGTAAAACTTAAACTACAGGTTGCTGTTTCTGTTTTTATAAAATTTGTACTTTTTGTTTGTCTGTGATGTACCTGTCTACATTTGATCACGGCTGCACTTTAAGAAATGGAAATGTAATGAGAGCTGTTCAAAACTAAATTTCATTTTGCATACAAAATGACAATAAAAGCTGTCTAAGTCTAAGTATCTCTGCAGTGGGAGCTGGAGAGGTGTGCAACTTTGCGGCCTACATGTTTGCTCCGGCCACGCTGGTGACTCCGCTAGGAGCACTTAGTGTCCTCATCAGGTAGCTGCAGATTTCCACACAGTCGTAGACGAGTTATCAACATACTGTATTTTATCCCGTTTAATGATGTTTTACTTATTTGCTTTTTAGTGCAGTTCTCTCATCCCACCTGCTGGGGGAGCAGTTGAATGTGGTGGGAAAGCTTGGTTGCCTTCTGTGCCTACTGGGCAGCGTTCTGTTGGTAATTCATGCTCCACAAGAACAGGAAGTAACATCTCTACAGGATATGACCAATAAGCTGCTGGAGCCAGGTGAGAAGAGAAGCCTACTATTTTTCCAGATATGGATAACTTGCTTGTTTTGCTTTTCTTACTTGTGTTGTATTCTTACACCCACTGCGCATATAATGTTTTTTTTTTTTTTTTGTAATATTATAAAAGAAAAGCTAAATCAGGTAAAATTATGCTGAAAAAATCAATACATAAAGATCCTGATTAAGTCACAAAATAGAAGACCTTTTTTTAGCTTTATCGTAACAAAGTTGGAGCCGGTTTTGGTAAATGAAATGAAGATGTTTAGGCTTTTAACTGGCACTTAATGTTCAGTGTTCATTAGTTAGTAAACTGCCCAATTCCTGTAAAAGAGCTTGCGAGTCAAATAGTATTTACAGTGTCAATGATTTAAAGTACTTCAAATTAATTGTTGCTGCATGTTTTAATCAATTAAATCATTTCTTTAGCTGTGACTGCAGAATTTTACCTGGCTAAACACATAAAAACAGTTTTTTCCTTTTTGATTTAAGATTGAAAAGAATTGGGCAATCGGAGTACCACAAACTCACAGTAACTGTTGACAACCAGGGTTATAGGGTGACGATACGTCTGAGTGTCTCATGCACAAAGGTGGATGTAACTGCTGATAAACTTTAGATGCATCTTTAATGAAATGAAGGTGAAAATGCCCTCAGCTTAGATTGAAAGGAAAGTCAGTCATTGAACTCATGTCTACAGCATAACAAAACCTGGTTTCACCTCTACAGGTCCTGTTAGAAAAGCTGTTATCATTATTAGTCTTTTTGTAGCTAGCACTTTGATACTTTAAATGGATGCCTAACTTGTTGCTTATCCGTGTTTATTTGTTTTGCATCTCTGCTTGTCCGGTCAGGTTTCCTGGCCTACATTGTGGCAGTGTTGGTTCTGTGTGCGGTCCTCGTGTTGTATTTCTGTCCCCGGTATGGTCCTTCTAACATCCTGATCTACATAAGCATCTGCTCATTGCTGGGAGCTTTCACTGTGTCCTCTGTGAAGGGCCTGGCCATCGCCATCAACACCGGTGAGATGCTGCAAATGGCCGTATGCTTTGATGCTCATTATCCTGAAAACCTTTGGTGAAAGTGTCCCAGAGAAGTGCTCCGGTAAACCGTTTTATGAAACATGTTTTCTCTTCACTCAGTGGTTTATGACATATCTGTGCTCACCAACCCTCTCACCTGGATCCTGCTTCTCACCCTCATTGTTTCCATAGTAACACAGGTAAGTTGGATTTACAAAAATACACAGTGAAAATACACAAACAACTTTGTTTCTTTGACAAATTTAATTTATGATATTGAGCCTGATTGCTGTAAACAGTATATCTGGTTATACAGACCAGTAATCATTAACATGGTCAAACATAATATCTGTTTTTCTCAATTTCCAACATTTTTAAAAAGTTTACAAAACATAAAATTCTCTGACATGGGGTTCAAGATGGGGTACTCTTTTTAAGTGATCCCACATTTAGTGTATTTAGGTATTGGAATTAATGTTTAATCAGTTTTTTTATTTTATGAATTATTTTGAACTAGTTGTAATATAGCAACTTTATAATAACTGTTTCTTACTTATAGACAAACCTTACCCAATAAAAAAACACTTTGTGGACCTTAGAGGTTTGAGTTTGAGGTTGTCAACACCCAGCTCTGAGGCTGCAACAAAGGAGGAGACAGAAGAGGTTTAGCAATATTTCAGAAATAGCTTAATTCTTTCAAAATAAAGCTGAGATCATGAGATGAGCTTGAAAAAAGGCATATATATGCCAGTCTGGCCCGTGAAAACTTGTGTCGCTCATATTAGTAAATGTCATTGTGATCCAAGGGATATATTTCTATTTATTTAGCTTCATATCTCAATTATACAATAAACAAGTGAATGCCAGCAGTGTACAATGACATTAAATAGGAGAAAACAAATAAAGAATAGTAACAGGTTGGTATGTTAAAAAGGAGAAAAAAATAAAAAAATAAATAAATACTCAATTTGTCACATATTTTGTTTTAAATGCTTTTTGGATTCCAGGTTCCTTAATTGTGATGTTGTTTTGTTTAAGTTGTTTTCCCCTTTTAAATCTTTTAAATTCAATGAAAGGGCACATTATTGTTTCCTGAACAGCTGATTGGCTGCTGAGTGGAGCGTTTTCTAGATTTATCCTGAAAGCTCATCTGCCTGGAGCAGGTTTACCGTTAAAAGTACGTTACCATGGTAACTGGCCTAGCTAAGAATGAATCCAACTTTGTGGTAATGGAAGTACAGTTAAACCTGAAGTTGTCCTGCTAACCCAGTAATCCATCTCCTTGGTACTGGTATTGGTTAGACTGAAGTCAGCTGTCTGTTTTTGCAGGTGAACTATCTAAACAAGTCTCTGGATACCTTCAACACCCTGCTGGTGTATCCCATCTATTATGTCCTCTTCACCTCTGTGGTCCTGTCCACCTCCATCATCCTCTTCCAGGAGTGGAGCAGCATGTCTGCTGTGGATGTTGTCACAACACTGGGTTCGTTCCTGGTCATTGTGGTGGGTGTGGCCATGCTGCACTTGTTCAGAGAGCTGCAGGTGGGCATTCCTTCCCCCTTTACATCCCTCCTTGAATGAATGAAAGCTTTTGTTGTATTTTTTCCCCCTTTTTTTGTACTAATAAAGATGCAACCTCGTGCAGAAATCTGATGCTTGATTTAATTTCTCTTGATGCAGATTACAATGAAGGAGCTGTCCAATCAGCTTTCTCAGCCAGTGGAGAGGGAGGGTCTTACAGAAGAGATCACAGCCAGTGGAAGAGGAAGGAGGAATAAAAAGGAGGATAAATATGGATTGATTGACAATGTAGTGATAGAAAGTTTACCTCCTATGAGAGAAGAGGGACCCAGAGTCTTCATCATCAGCTGAAAGACAGAAAATGTTTGTGTACTCATTATTACTGATAGTTCAAGCACTTTTTCAAACTTTTGGACCTCTGGTTTGCTGGATTTTCAGTTTATTCTGTTGGTCCACCTAATCTCACATGGCAGTGTAATATATGCTGCTGCCCTCTGAAGGTGCTTACACCTCGGGGCTTATTCCCAGTTCTTTATACCTAGAGCGATCACTCTTTGAATAACTCTTATAGAACATGAGTCTTAGACAACACTTTAACAATATTTATTCTAAGTTTAGCAGAGAAATGGTACAATTAGAGCACTGTAGCTCAAGTTGTCCTATGTGTCAAAAAATGATAATGAGCCAAAAAAAAAAAAAAAAAAAACTGATTCTTGGTATACCTCAATATAATGTGTCCACCAGGTGGATTGTTAGCTGTTGTGTGTCATCATTTGACACTCCAATCATATCACAAAACCTGCCATAGTTCCCTGCTGCAAGTTTAACTTCAGGATGCAAACATGCTTCCTCTTTATCAAGCCTGGCCCTTGAGAAAAGGAATTATATTATTTGTTATAAATGTAGGCTGTTATATCTAATTAGTTGCTTTGTATCTTCCCATTCTCTTTCCCTAACCTTGTGACTTACATCATGAAGATGATAACTTGCATCTCTGCTTCAACTAATATGACTGTTTAGGGAATGTAATCAAAACATTTCAATTTATGCCTTATAGTATTATACTATGGGTAGGTAAAACTATAAAATTTACGCAGAAGTATACACATCTGTTATACTTAAAAACGTAGGTATTTTTATTGTTTAACAAACATTTTTAAGAAGGAGAAAGATTAATCCTAATGACTGTATTCAGAGGTACAGTCCAAGTTGCCCTTTTTAATTTGAAAAACTTATCTTTTAAATAGGCTTTAAAAAAGACTTACTGTATCTTCTTTCTCTTCTTCCTATGACTTTATATATTAAACATAACACCGCTGCCACAACCTACTTTGGTGATTTAGAGATCAATTAAGGGAGGAGGTCTATTTCCTCATTCTTCTGCATATTACTTTGCTGCTTTTTAACAAACCACTAAGATGTTTAGAGGACATCTTAGAACCAACTTGGAAGTGTTTTTCTTAAAGGGACGGAAACCAGGTTGTATCAGCTAAGGCCGCCGTCATGGACAGATCCATGTAGTGTTTTAAGGATTCAAAATAACCATTTATTGTTAAAGTAAATGACTATTATATTAAGGTAGTTTGAATACAACCGGTATCCAGAAATCACACTTACTCTAGCTGCCAAACCCTATAAACAGGACAATTTGTTATTCCATTGTAGTCTGTGTTTCAGTCTCCTTATAAGCTTTTGGACCATCTTTCCAGAAAAGATTCCTCCATTACAAACGTTATCCCCCCCCCCAAAAAAAGAAAGATAAAGTGACGATATTACAACTTCTCATTGGTTTCCACTTCTGAGATTCCAGGCTGGAGGAAACATTCCAGATGCGGAAGAAATTGAATAGATTATTCTGAAAGCATTGCAAAAATAGCTGAAACCACATCCTCCACAATGTTTTAAAGAGGGGGATTATTTTAATGCTTGCCTTTAATTAGTTAGTTTTAATTAGGATTAAACATTGTTGTAAACATATTTTTGATGTTTAGATCCATTTAAATTTCTACAAATGTGATATCAGGTCCCAGAGAGCCTGATTTTTATTGGTTTTTACTTTTAAGATTAGTTGACCAAAAAGTCTGCATTAGGTAAAAGATTCCATTAAAATGAAACAGCAATGATCATTTTGAATAATTCATGATTTCAAAGAGGGAATTCTGTAAAGCGTTTCAAACTATTGAAGCTTTAATCAAAATACAATTTGCCACCTCTGACATTTACACTTGTTAAGGGAGTCTGAGCAAAGTTTTTACTAGTTTCGTCTATGAGCCTGTGTTTTCTGTAAGTTAAAGCTTGCTGCGGTCTTACCTGGAGCCCTTGAATTTATTAACTACATTTTTTTATTTCTTCAAACTTAAGAGAGAAATAGCATATTGGTAATCAGTAATACTTGAATGTTTAAGTTTTTTAGTTCCTAGTAGTGCCTGGAAATCAGTGGAGACTCCTATAGTTTTTCCATCTTTACAGTATGTTCCTCTGAGCTGAAGACTGGAGTATATGAAGCAGACAAAACAGTCAGGATATAAGTTCAAGTTGAGTTTGTTAGGACAGGTCATCTGTTATTGACAGATGCTAATACAGATGGTTTATGCAAATAGCTGAATACCGATATCAGAGGTCAGCCTAATTAATGGTGAGCTGTTTATCTGCAGCATTGAATGAGCTGAGATTCTTATGCTAGTCGAAATGTTCTGCTATGAAGTCGGCTGGTTTTCAAGTATCTGGACTCAGACTACCTGCTGTACAGATTACAGCAGGTGTGGACCTCATCAATTTACAGAGTGAAAGATTATATATTGATCCAAACCGTAGAGCCATGGTAGATCAAAAACTTTTGATAAAGATTGTGAAACTTGACTGTTTGCTGCTGAAGACATTTCAGTTTATGAAGCTCAAGGGAACCAAAGAACAAAAATGTAGGTTTCAGATATAACCTGAATTGTTTTCTCCTCCTAATCATTTCAGTCCAAATATGTTTTGTCTGGAAAAAGATCAAACTGGTTATATAATGTTCAAATCTTTTGAGAACTTTGTTAAGAAATAAAACTGATTTATCTAAATACCTTTTCGCACCATTTTGTCTGTGTTTTTATGTATTTATGTATAGCATACCCCTTTATAAAGCTCTTTAAAAATAAAGATAATCAAAGAGCTGTACATGCATTTGAAAGCAACAGCAAAATTGAAATAGACAAGCATAATACAGACAAGCTAAAATAAGAGTTTTTAAAAAACATATTTCAAGTTAAAATAAAACAATAAAAATTTTCAATAAAGAATTAAAAATAATTAAAACCAGATACAAAAAAATACAATAAAATTGGGTCAAGCTCTCAGGATGTAGAAAATGCCTCAACAAACAGGTGTGTTTTAAGAAGCCACCTGGGAGTCATCTGCATAAAAGTGGAAGGAAACTCCATCTGTCCTGAAGATGAGCCTAAGAGGAAGCAGGTACAAGGAGAAAGGCAAGGGGCCTGATATTGATCCCTGTTGTACCCCATGCTGGAAAGGAGTGGCAGAGGACATTAAGTTCCCAAATTTTACTAAGAGTTTGTTCTGCCAAAGAGGACCTGAACAACTAAGGCAGTGGTCCTGACAGCCACACAGTGCTCCACATGAGAAATACAAATTTTATGCTCAACCATGTCAAAGACAGCAGTTAAATCCAAAAGCACAATATATGTATTTATATATATCTATATAAATAATAATAAACACAAATTTTATTAAATTTTTATTTTGTTCAATAAATTATTGATTTATAATCTTTGTTTAAATAAATAATTCTAAAAAAAAAAAATGTCCCAGACAAATTAAAATACCTAACTCATGAACAGTGAACCAACATACCTTTCAACAGGTGCAGAAGTCTTATTGATAAATTCATTACACAAAACACCCGATTTCAGTGATTGCCTGAAAGTGTTGCTCAATGAAAATTTAGTTTTGGAGCTCTATTTTCTAGACAGACTCCTGTTGGTTCACCTAAACGCCAAGGTGTGACAGCTCCATAAGCAAAGGAGCAGCCATCAGGACTCAAGCAGGAGTTTGTTGTGAAGAAGCCATGAAACTGTACACCTGCTTCAAAAAACCCACTAATTAAGATATGACAGACAGCACTGCAAGGATCACGTTCTTTGATTTCTCCAGTGCATTTAACATGATTCAGCCTGACCTACTCCGGTGGTTTCAGGTGGAGGCATCAACAATCAGGATCAAACACAAACTGACAATCAGTTTGAGACTTTGTGTGTGTGGCCATGTTTTTCTTACCATGTGGGCACAATTTGCCAGGAAAATGCCCAATTTTGGGGACTTATAGGTATTAGTGGGGAACAACAACTGGTCTCCATGAGGAGAAGTTATCTTATCTGGGTGTAGGTTAGGTTTACAACTGAGGTGTGAATTGATTTTAGAGTTAGGCATGCTTTGCTAATGGTTAGAGTTAGTCCATAGAAATCAATGCAATATAAATTGGAATCAATGGAAAGTCCCCAAAAGGATAGTGTGACATAATGTGTGTGTGTTCTTGCTTATGTTAGATATTTAGGACCTTTTTTGTTATATTTACTAGTCTAAGGGCCAACAGGCCATGTGGGGCTACTGGGGCTAATGTGGCAGAGCCCCATTTTTAATGTTAGAGAGCGACTAAGTCTAAGGTTGGGTTAGAGATATATGATAAATATGGAGTTAGATATCAAAAATACACAAATACACCTATGTGATTCATACATGCACAGGACAACATCAACAGAGCATGATTCAGACAAGCGCACAAGGTCACACAAGAGCTTGAGGAGAGCATGCGCCATATTTATTTCATAGGAAAAAAACATGTGGTAATGAATGGTTAATTTAATATCACAAAATTAAATCTTACCATCAGCATCAATCACACACATTTCTGCTCAAACATTTTCTTTATGTTGTGGGTTTTTGTAAAAGGAATAATCCTACAAGATTGGTTTGTTCTCTACCTCCAAACCACCTCAATCTCTTCATCTATCAGTGTGATAAGAAGTTTTTTTTGAAGTTGTGAGAAGCGTGAGAAGTCTTGGAAGCTGTTGTGATTGGATTTGATTAAACTTTTAAGCCTCTCAGGATAAAATAAATATCTTGATGGAGATGAGAAATCTGCTTCCTGGTATGATGAAGTACTAATAGTTTACATCCAATGATTTAATTAATTAGTTTAAACAGTTTTTTGGGAATATTTAAGAATTATGCTCTAATTTTTGGTTACAAAGCTGTCGTTACTATATTTTAATTTGACAAACCGGATCTTCTCTGCGTTCTTTTTCATGTTTTGTATGATTGCAATTGCGGATCTTGACCTGGCCGGACTGGAACTAAAAATAGCTCGGCTCTGTATTGTGACAGTGAAGGACAGAGAAGACGTATGTGGACGGCAACGTTCGAAGGACTAGCGGTGGATGTGGAACAATTCTCATTGATTAACATTACAGGTGAGTGTTATGCAAGACGTACATGAGTGGGGCAGAAGTTATACCTATTGCAGAGGTTATGCCCTAACTCAAGACAGAATCTTGTTCTTTGTATGTGTGGATCTTGTGCTGTGCATGTGTGTATTTTTTTGTGCTTGTATGAATCATTCTGTGAGTGTGTGGATCTTGTACTGTGTGTGTGTGGATTTGTCAAAATTTAGACCAATCTAGCTTCATAGATAAATGTCATGGTTAGACATAATTACAGGAACTAAAATGAATGTTAGTCAATGGAAAATGTTGATTAAGATGGAAATACAAACTGGGAAAATATCTTGGTCTCGATGGTGAAATATTGGTATGTGAATGTGCAGAATGGCAACTCAGGTAGAAAAGGAAGAGAAAGATTTAGCAGCAGTTTTGAATGGGAAAGACAGAGATGGAGGAGAAGAAAAAAGGAGGAAAAGAGGTGGTTTGACAGTCAAGAAAGTAAAACAAAATTAGAAGAGCTGGATCGGAGCTAGTGTGCCTGGCTTTGTCTTTCCTGACGGGACCGCCTGTGGAACTAGTTAGGAGTTGTCTTTTGTATATCTGCTTCTTTCTGTATCTCTCCTTCTGTCTCCTTGAACCCCAGTTGGCCTCAGCAGTTGACTGCTCACACTGAGTCTGGTTCTGCTGGGGGTTTCTTACCGTTCAAAGAGAGTTTTCCTCTCCACTGTCGCTACAAGCATGCTTGGTGTGAGGGATTGCCTTTGAGTCGATACAATCAGCTGCTTTTCCTTAAATAGAAAACTTTCAACCAATCTGACTGTATGACCTGGTTGAATTGTCTCTGTAAAGTGCAACTATTGTCTTGAGATGACATTTATTGTGAATTGGCGCTATATAAATAAACTGGACTGACTTTAAATTCAATATAGCAAAGCAGTTTGGCTCAAGAAAGGAAGGTGGTAATGACAAAATTACAAAAAACAAAGTTCAAAGTAATACTTTTGTGGACATTTATTGAAAATAAACAGAAATAACTTGAATATTACAAAATCATAAATAAAAGATTTATGAAAAACAAAACAAATGAAAGCCGGATATTGCTTTTCAACCATGCTTCAACAGAATGATAAAAAAAAAACTCATGAAGCATGGTATAAAAAATGGTATTTATAACTTAATATTATTCTGCCCAACCCTTTGAGGCAATCATTACAACCAGATGATTCCTCTAGCTGTCAGTGAGACCTCTGCATCTCTTACTACGCCAACCAATTTAAATCATGTCACATGAGGCCCATTATGATTTACAGATGAATAAATAGAAAGCACTAGAGCAATCACAATAATTGATGTTGAGACATGGAAAATTGTTGATAACTTGCAAAACTGAGTTGCAAAGAAAAACAAAAAACATGGTAACTTTTTACTTTACTGAACTCAATAAGGAGAAATTCACTGATCACATTAGCTCAATAGTCAAAAGAAGGTGTCAAAAGGAGGAAAACGTGTGTATATATATATGTACATATATATAGCTGAACTCTCTTATTTAACAGGATTATTGCACATAGTGATTTCACATTAGTTACTGCAAAAGTTATGACAGTTATGGTGCCGCATTGTAAAGTCTGATGACAGCAGGGATGAATGACCTCATGACATAACGTGTCATGAGGTCATGAGAAAAAGAGCTTATAGAAAAGTCGATGGAGAAGAAAAAACGATAAGGGAGTATTGATGCTGTGGGTGCAATTCTCTTCTGCAGGTACAGGAAAGATGGTCACAGTGATTTGAGCCAAATCCAGGGAAATCTTGGAATGAAACCTGTTGGAAACTGACACGGTAGTTCCAGCAGGACAACAACCCTAAAGTTAAAGCTAGGGCTACAACGGGATGATTTAACACAATCATTATCCACCTAAGAATAGCTCAAAGTCCAAACCTAAACCCAATAGAAATTCTGGCAAGATCTGAAAAGTGCTGATCACTAGCACTCTTTATCTAATTAGACAGGGCTCTAACAGTTTTGCGAATAAGGAAAAGGGAAAATTTCATTCACTAGTTGTGCAAAGCTGGAAGAGACATGCCCTAAATGACTTGCTTCTGTAATTGAAGAAAAGGTGATTCCACCAAGTAATAACTCAGGGGATCTTAAACTTTTGCATAATGGCCTACTCAGTTTTTTCTCAGTTTTTTTTTTGTAAAAAGGAAAAGAAGAATCATTTATAAATGTATTTATATTTTAGAATTATATAACATCGGTCTTTTGGTATGTTTGTAGTTGTAATGTGACAGAATGTGGAAAATCATAAGAGGCATGAATGCTTTTGCAAGCCAGTGTACTAGCATTTGCTTCTGTCATCTTTGCTAATCTAAATGTACTTCTGTACAACTGATAACCATTGTTTTTATCACAATGGTCAAAAATTTTACAAATGCATTGTGCAGACATATTCTTTTCTTTTCTTCCTGGTGATTAACTAATTAGACCCTTAATTAATCCCTTTAGAAATTAGATGATCTGCTTTATTTTTTCAAACACTATTAATGAGTTTAAGGGAAAATATTGTTCATCACTGTGCATAGCCAATATTTTACTAAAAAACGGGGCAGACTGACTGCAA